AGCCTTATGGACAGACTCAAGATCCATTAAACGTATTATACAGATAATAAAAAAATATATTGAAGAAGTAAATATTTATATTCATCATATTAACTATTTTTATATTTTGAATGTAGCAAGGATGTATTGATTTTACAATGAAAGTSTAGTTTAATTTATTTAATTGTTTTATTTGTCATAGAATTTTGGAATGGTAAAACTTTAAAATTATACCTAATACATTTTTTCATGATTTTTTAACTGGAATGAAAAAAATAGGGTAAAGTCACAAATATTTCTTATGATTAAAATTCAAAATTAGACTGCATACAGGATAATAACAGATTTCCTCAAACGATTTTTGTTATTTTGTTATAATAATAATAATAATAATAAAAAAAAACATTATTCGTAAAACCATTGATTGTAAATACTGCAGTATTTGTATTTACACAGCACCTAATTGGTTAAAATAGTATATATAATATATAATAAATGGTTAAAGCTTACAATGTTTCACCATTAAGTTTCTATAAAAAATGATGCACAATGATATTTTACACATAACAATATAATAAAATGTCCTTAATGAATAATATACATATGTCCTACATAGTCGAAAAGACCGTCTTCAATTCAGAATCGTTTTCATCATATTATATCATACGGATATAGGTACAATGATTTTCTTTTAAATTCAAAGGTATCTATCTACTTAATAGGTACCTATAATAACGAGTGTCTGTGTAAGTACATAATATATGTGGCATATTAATCCATAATTCCATATATACCGGCATATAATTCTTTTAACTCACTGAAACATACACTCAAAACTTAGTATTCAACGACTTCTTCGTTTTATTTATTTTTAATATTTATTATTGTGCTGTGTTTTTTTTCAGTTATCCAAAACTCTCGGATGTTTCAATATTTATGCTATATCAATTATAAGTGATTGTTTACTTTTAATAAGAAATATTCTTTCCGTAGATGAGGATCAGTATCAAAAGAAAATATTATTGATTCTTTTTTGTGAACAATTTGGAGAGGTAATATAATTGTTTTTTTATGGATCTATTTTTACAACCCGGCATCATAGGCCATTAGTTACAGTTTTTTTTTAGTATTGTTTATGTAGTAGTTTAAAATGATAATATGTCAGAAGCTTATTTTAATGCTGGTAAAGTACAAAACTATTGTGGAAATCTAGAATTTACGAATTTACTACATACTATTATTATGATAGGACGGTAATACGGTACCTATATAGAAAAATTATTCAAAGAACCAAACGATTTACTCCTCACTGTTGCCAATATTTCATTTTAACCAATTAGATATGTAAATACAAATGTTGTTTTTGGAGAAATAATAATTTATATAAACACTGTTTACATATCATATTATTGTAATATTGAAACAAATATACCTGTATGTAGTATTCTGTATTATTATATTTTTAATGTTTATGAAAATATTAAATAATAATTACCATACGATATGCAGAGAGCTTATCAAATTAAATATTTGTGTTTTAATGTTCGTAATAATTTTATGTTAACTAATTTATATTGGCACCCAAATAGTGAGTAGTAAATAGATACGAACAACATCGGTTGAACCGCTAGGTATCAGTGAGACAATTAGTTTTATTTTAATAAGCATTATAAACATTTAGTAAAAATATATCAAACATTTATTATTTGCATAAAATAAAGATTTTTATTGTGACAAAGTATGACAAATTTATAGATAATAATATAAGAATGGATAGGGGGATAGGCCACCAAAATGGCAAAATGTATAAAATGAGAATGAACGTTTTGATATTTTAAGTTTTCAAGGATTCTTGTCGATTATATAGGTAAAAATAATTTCTAAAAATATCATACATCATATTAATTACGAAATTAATTGTAGTCACCAAAATCGATTATGATGACTTGGATTATTAGTAGAAGAACTGAAAAATTGTGTAAAATAGTGCTGTACGCAGCATAATAAAATAATCATTATAAAAACTTATATTCGGAAATTCGGATACTTTATAGTTTTATATCTAATGAGTCAAATCTGAGTACCTCCATAAGTAATTTAAAAAAAGTACCAATGTAACGAGTGTTTTGGAATTGTTATTTTATTGTAACTGTGCCGATTGAAACAATTTTTCAAAAGCAACTAAAATTCCTATCATCAATTGGTTTTATCATTKAAGCTTGGGTGCTGGGGAAATTTTTCTATGTCACCACCTAGGTTTTTTGTTTGTGGGGCGTAAACTAAAGGTATACAAATTTGGGAGATGGTCATACAGATACTAAATATTTTCAGAAACAAAAATTATGGAAATCGTGTGTTGGAATAGGCACCGAGCGAGTACAATATTACAAGCAATATAAATGATATAAAATCTCGCATTAACTATTTATGATTGTTAAAGTATTTGAAATGTTTTAAAATTTTAGCAATTTTAACTTGTTTTTTTATATATATATATATTTATAGACACTTATGGTTTTGATTCACGATTCGTTGCGAAGAAAATGGGCAGCGCCAGTCGTTGAATTATTTGCTCTGGTTTTCCAAAACGATGACGTTGCTTCAGAGATAAATAAGACAATTATCAATTATAGTCTGAACATCACACCATCACATCATCCAGTAATAACTCATAATTTTAGTTTAAAGATATTATCTGCTAAATAATTTAATACCCCTTAATATGCCTCCACAATGATAGCCATAAATCATAATCACATTTTGATAAACCACATATGAACGATTAGCAGCCGTTCTCGTTAAACGAATTAAATTATTGTTTTCAGTTAACCTTACAATGATGTATTTTGTCTTCTATTTGTTTTCATCTTTCGATGCAGTTAATATGCTTCGATTATATTGCAACGATTTGTTATTGAATTCAAATTTAACAAATACATTACAGTACTACAGTCATTTACTAAATTAAGGTACCTATACTGACACCTACTGTACAATAGAGCCATTACTTATTTTATGACTTTATTCCTTTTTACTGTAACATTACTACTATCATTGATTATAAATACTAGTATTTATAATCAATGCTACTATATTAAATTATATCCAAAATTATATAATAAAATAAATGTAATGTGAACGCAATAAATAGTACTCGTAGTATAAAAATAACATCGTCTGATAATGCATTCAAAATAAAGTTTGATAAAGCATACAATTTCAACCCTATCTCAGAATCTCTTTATGTACGACACAACAGTAAAATAGGTACAATTTTGATTCTAGATTTATTTATTATCAGTGCTTATTGTGGTTTTAATATTTTTTATGAAGAGAATATAAATAAGTATGTATTTTTACTTCCATGTTTCATTTAAGGATAATCCTTGTGATTTGTGAATTAGATTTTATGAAAAACAACGGCACATTATTTTAAATGGTCTAAGATATAATATTTATGTATTCTTAAATTAACAGGTGGCTGTAAAAGACGAAGTTGGAAGAAAAATGTTATTCAAAAAATCAATATTTAATTTACAAAGGTAAAAATTGCATTTCGCAAGATTAATTTGATTGATAAAATTTAAAATCTATACACCAAACTGTAGATATACTGGATGAATTATTGACAGGAAAATATTTAAGTATGAAGATTGTAAAAAGGGTTATCCCATAAAAAACTTAAGTTTGATGTTTTWATTTTTAAACGAAATTAAGAGATATTTTAAGAACATAGTTTTAAAAAGTCATATAAAATCACAAAATATTATTTTAAATATAACAACATAATTATAATAATAATAATGAAATTTCAAAAAAACTAATGAGGCGGTGCATGTGTGACAAAAATAATTGAAAGGAAATGTAGATATGTGGCCATTATTTTGAAGATAGTATTTCTATCCAGAATATCGCGTAAGAATAGAAATATAGAACAGTTTTATTTGATTTACATTAAAAGGAATCAACAGAATAGATTGAAGAGATAAATTTAGAAGAATTTCATTAGACAATTTATGGTCTAAGATTAACTTATAATAAAATAAAAAATATATTTAATTGTAGTGAAAACTCAATTATTTCAGTCATTCCACTAAAACAGAAAGAAAGATAAACTTTTCTAATATACAACCTAGAAGAATGCTACATAAATATGAACTTTCTGTAACACATAATCAGGGGTTAAAGTGGGGGGGGGGCGCAGGAGGACTCAGCCCTCTTACCTCTAACGGCGGTTAAAAAGCGTCCCCTTTAACAAATTAGGATTTTATACATTAGACATTATACATAAAATTATATATGGAACGCTTAAAACTTTTTGGAAAAATAAATCCCCTCTGGAATTTTTTCCCACTTTAACCTCTGCACATAATGCCACTATAGTTGACCTTGACACTATTGCCAAAAATATGGATACAAAATTGACTAAAAATATGTAAATAATATACCATTTAAAGTACCTATATATTTTTATTTTAATACTTATATATCTTTTATTAAATTCATTTTTAAGGTTTAAAACATTACCAACTCACGATGACGAAAGTCTRGATAGAAACATAGTCTTTCTTCAAATCAAAAAATTCGCTATTCATTTTTTACAAAATGGATTCAGTACTATCGTTGATGAAGTTTATAGCATACTATCAAATACACAGCACAACATTGATTTGTCACATTTTTTCTGGGTTTTAATATATCTTTGTAGATTTTGCAAGTTCAACAAAATTGAATTGAAATTAATCAGGTGGATTAATGTATAATTGATAAATATTTTAGAACATTAAAATATAAACTATTAAACTATTATATTATAGAGGGATTATTTCATTAAAACTGATTAAAAAAGTGGCTTCAGAAGGTCATAACATTGCAAATAAACTAACGATGGCAGAACAGCAAAAACCTGATGATATTCATATATATGTCAGACAATTGTATTTAGTACGTATTAGCATACATTTTTATACAATGATTTCTTTTATTTTAAAATTTGTTTTTCGTACATCTAAAAGGTAGTCATGGTATTTAAAGAAGTAGTTGAGACAATCGATTTTTATCGAAAAACAACTGTTACACTATTCAAAAACACAGACCTATTACAAGATCTTAACAGTAAGTTGGAATATATATATATATATATATTACATAATATATAGTTAATATTCTTTTATTTTAGTATCAACTATTTTTAGTACTATACTTACTAGTTTTTGATAGATTTGTTGACGTATTAATGGTCTTAAATATAAATAAATTTACAATAATTTTTATCTAAGCAATTTTATTTTTATTGTAATTAAAAAATAAAWAACTATAGAAACTWGGCATTTAAACCAACTATGTAGGTAAATCAGCATTGTCTATAGACATTATAGAAATATTTTGACCCTTATTATTAGGCTGTTTATAAACATTTTAATATTTCTGTTTCTCGTACGTTTTTTATAGCAAATACAAAATATCTAAAATTATTAGCAAATGACTGAAGGATGTGAATCGCTTTCGTAAAAAATTAAAACATAGATAAATTAGGTTAGGTTCATAAGTAATTAAAAATGTATACAAATCTTATTTTATAACCCCCAAACAGAGTTGGCAAAATTTTATCTAGATAATTATTCGAATAATTTTAGATTCTGAGTGGATCGATGAATATATTGATTTTACCATGATGTGTCTATCATCAAGTTTTGGGGCAGTAAAAGTGCTTCGATTTTTGATTTCAGAACCTCGTTCGATCAGAAAGTGAATCTAGTTGGTACTTTGGGGGGTCAAAAGTAAAAATATTTTGATATTTTTTAAATAATTGGGATAAACAAACTAAAAATTAAGGGGAAAACGGGAAATTTTAGGCACAATCAGTTTTCGACAAAATCGATTTTGGTTTTTAACGTAACTTTAAAAAAAATGACTATAGTTTCACCGAATGTTTATATAAGTACATATTATATTCTATTATTTTCAATAGAATTCAGTTCTAAAMATTTTAAATTGTTTGTATATCTTAAAATACTCATAACTCGCTTTAAAATTAAAATATAATAAAAAGCCTATGAGAAGCCCTCCATAATAATATTAACTTTAATTTCTATAAGACTTACTCTAAATTTTAAACTAACGGAGCTAAGCGTGATCTACTGAGCATATAATTTGCTATGTTACGCACTTGTAACTTTGTAAGAAGAAGACAACACATGCGGGTCGCGGATGTAGCATCCTCTTGAGTTTTGTGAATGCAGAAAACTGATTTATTTCATGTTGTAGTTTACTTATTGTATAGCTTATTTATAAAAACTAATATTTGCTCAACATAATCAAACATCTAAATTAAAGATCCATTTTACACGATAAACGTCTGGACCCAGAATTCGTAATAATATTTTCTATTAAGTTCTACAAGTCATAATATTTTTATTTATGAAATGTCAATATTTGTGTCACATCATGTATAGTGTTGTACTTGAATATCAGTTATTTCCTCTTAATTACTAACCCTCTTGCAGGTATCTTCTATTCATTGTTTGATCCAACAATGGCAAGTTTAACTTTGGTATTGAATTAACAATAAAGCAATAATAATGTAATATTACCTACTTAGAAATATTATCGGTATTCCTTATAGTGAATGTTAAAATATACAATGTACATTTAACCAATTATTCAAATTTTACCTTAGTTCACTTCTATGTCAATTGTTGATATATTTTATTTGTTAATTGTAATATTATGTTATGCAAATTATTCAATATTTTTAAAATTATTATATGCATATAGATGATAGTTCACCAGCATCTACAACTTGGAAAGAAGATATCATGTCATTATTCTCAATGCTTATCAATTTCTATAATAGCGACTTACAGACATTTGAATACTTGGTAGATTTAATAATTACAAACCATAAGTTAATATTATTGTTGGATAATCTAGATTATTGGACTACAGATGATACTACTGAACATTTTAAAAGGTAACCTTTATAGATTACAAATTATATGAATCCAGAATAATAATAATTACTAATTACTATACGGAGGATCTATTTAACGTAAAACATTCATTATTTCAGGATATACAAACGTTTTTGAAAATATTTCTTTTACTTAGGTGCTATATTATTTATTATTATTTTATTTTTAGTAGAACGATAAAAAAAGCCGTTATTAACGGCTTAAAATTATACATTTTTTTTCTCAAAAATGTTTATAGTTTTTGAAATAGTGATCACTTTTTATTACATTAAATTGATCATCCAGTTTAGATGTACCTAATGAAATTTAAACCTAATATTATCTATGCTAGATTTGCTACAACCGATATAATGTATAAGTATGGAGCTGTTCTACAAAATTACAATAAAAATGGCGAATTAGTCAATGACGCCATATTCACTTTGATTCGTAGTGTATTTAGAGACTGCGAAATTAATTCGGTGATTTTACAACCAATTATTTTGGAAACACTATTGACAATAACTGAACATGAATATTATCCATGTAAAGTAAGAATAAAATATTTTCAATTTATACAGCTCATTGTAAGAATATAAGATACATTTAACATATTGATTTATTATTTTGAATTTTATACAGAAGTGGCGTGATTTGATTGACCGTGTTTTAAATTTAAAAAAGTTCCGCACTATTTGTTCAGCTTATGCAGAGAGTAGAACTGCTAAAAATAGACAGAAGAAATAATAAACATATATGAAAATAAATTGTAGTATATTATAGCAGGTGTGTGGTAATAAATAACAAGTAGTAATAATTTTTTTAATTTAATTTAAATTAGGTATAATGTCCCAGCACATTAAATGCTATTACAAGTTTTCTTATGTTTTAGTTACAAATTATAAATTACAATTACTAAAATAGTAGTACCTATTCACTAAGTATACTAGGTACCTAGTCATAATAATAAGTAAAAAAGTTCAATGAAGCAAATGGGCTGAAAAAAACATATTGTAGCTGCAATATAAGAAAATAATGAATCAGGTGGAACAGTGGTGTGTTTAACTGATACCGATTTAAAAAAGTCAAATTTGCAAATTTGAAAAATTTGCTTATTTATATAATAATGTCTGCTCCTGTTAAAAATTTTCTTTTTCTAATGTTTTTTACATGGTCTCTTTGCTTTGCTGCTTAATTTTATATATGTACCTATCACACTGTATTCCGAGAAGATGATCGACAAGAATAGAAATATTTGGATGTACTAAATGAAAAAAGGCATTTAATTTTGCGTTAAAACTTTCACAGCTGTTAGTGGTCCGATTAAAGGTTGCTACAGTATTGTAAATAGGTATTTTATAATTGCATGTCGTTATATTTTTTAACCGCGTTGATTAAAATCATCTCCACATATATCAATACCTATATTTGTTTAGGTACTTATGCTAACATCTATCCATAAAAAAAGTTACCTTTCACTATCAGCTGATTTAAAATAAACATTATATTTATTTTTATTTTTATTTTTGAACATCATTACATGGAATATTAAATAACAATTTGGACAAAGTTTGGATCATGCAATTCCGTCAGCCCTACTCTCACGGAGACAGTCTCGACGAAATATTTAGGTGGGGCGAGGAGGAAGTTCAAGTGCATGCATATACTCACGAGTATAGGTACCATGTAGTATGTACCGGGTACATTGTACCCTCAGCTTGCTTTGAATTAATAAGCACTAAATACACACAAGTGCACTCACGTTTTAAGTTTAAATTTTATAAGGAAAACGAAGTGCTCGAGGTCATCTAATCCTACTTACATATTATATATTCGAACATGTTCTGACTGACTGAATAAACTGAAAGTGATTATATTATTATATTATTATTTAATAAAAAAATTAACTGACCAATGTACTCGTATATTGTATAGACTAAACTTGAAAGCTGGACTAGCACTATAGGTACCATGTATTAGGGTKCACTAAAAAAGGATTTTCCAAAGTTCGCATTTTAAAAAGATGCTTATACAAGGATTTTGAAATTTACAATGAAAGTCAAAAACTGTTGTTTATAAATGGTTGAAAGTGATTTGTATGTCGACAGTTACGCAAATTGAAAAACTTAAATGATAACAAAGTCCATTTACATAATTTGACTATATTCATACTAGAAAATTATTAAATAAGTTATTCTGTGGGTATACCCATATTTAGTGTTATAGTATCTAGATATTTTTTTTTTTTTTTAATTAATAGCAACAATTTCCACTGCAGAAAGGCTTTTTTCGAAACTCAAGCCAATCAAAAACAATTTAAGGAATTCCACGAAAAAGAATCGTTAATCAAAAATGTCAATTCTAAATAAGTGGTGATCGGAAAAAAAGTCCTCGAAAAATACCTCAGATRAAAAATTCCAAAGCTATACCTAATACTGTTGGATACAGCTATCAAAAATAAAAATAAATAATATACAATTTTAATCATAATTTGATAATTATTATATTATCTTGATCAGACCTWAATTCTGCATAAAATAAAAATAATTACCAATGATTAGTCTGGCGATACTGTTCACCACGAACACAAGCTTTTATATTCGCTCCGTTATCTGTATTTTAATTACGTAAATTGCGTTTTCGTTTTCAACGTATATCTTATTAGTTATTAATTTATTATGATTCATTCCAGTAAAAGTCCACCTCGCGTACGCCTACGTCATCAAAAAGGATATTATCCAGTTCTTCTTCAAATTCTCCTCTTCACGAGGAGAAAAAGACCAAAATGTTCACCTCTCCAAACCGTTTCGCTGTTGTCGCCTCAATCGACACTAACGATGACTCTGTGTTTGATGTGGCGCCACCTTCCCGTGAAGTCACTGTTGTACCTTCATCTCTCCCTTCTGACCAGGCTGAGCCCTTATATTTTATAGCGGCTTAGCTCCACCTTTTAACATCAGGAACATCGATAAATTTTCCGCATTCAATAAGGATGTATTGTTAAAGACCATCGGCCTCAAGGGGTTTACATGTAAGTCCACTCCTTCATACCTCATATCGTCCATCCCAATGGTCCCGAAAATGTCAATGTATTGGCAAATAATTTGATGGAAACTAACGCCAGTTTCCATACTTTTTGACCTCGCTCTCAACGTTGTCCTTTTAGGACGTTATCAGAAACCTCCTCCATCATTCTACTCTCAGCGCTGATATTTCGTCCACAATATTAAAAATAATAACAGTCCTCTCCCAATCTTTTTTGTCGACATCGAACCCAATGTTGATAATAAACATATCTACAACATCACATCATTACTAAACACGAAAGTAGTGATTGAAAAACCGAACAAAACGACACTCGGTCCGCCGCAATGTTATAATTGTTAAGACTATGATCACACGCAAACCTACTGCCACCATCCATCGCGGTGCGTCAAATACGGCGAGGCTCATGATTCAGATAGCTGCACCAATGATCACTCCAGCCCAGCTAAATGCGTCCACTGTTCCGAAAATCATACGGCCAGCTTCAAGGGGTGCCAGTTCTACCAAAGCATTCTAAATCGCTACAAAACCAAGTCTTTAAACTCCAAAAAATATTACATATACAAAAAACTTATCCTCCTATTCCCTCCCCATTGACCCCTCTCAATCCATCCYGTCATATGCGGCTGCTACTTCTGGTTCAAAACCGAACATTAATCCGCAAAACTCAAATTTAAAATTAGCTGTTTCAAAATGCCTATCTGATTTAACCTCAATAATTAATTCTTTTCTTTACGCTATATTAATAACCGATTCATTATGAAATTTATTTTAAATATTATTTCTGTTATTATATACACTAATATTCCGTTATGTTTGTTCTTATCTGACATCATTATCTTATTCATCATTTTATCATGATGCTCATTATTATTAATTAGTAATTATTAATTATACATCAACAGATTCGGCGAGGTAGATCGCAGTAGTAGGTATAGGTACTTGTGCTCACTGCTCGTTTTAAATCGAAATGATTTCATATATCTGCGCACGAGAAATAATACGTCCATTTACATACTATCGTTATCTGTATATTATATAGAAAGCTACATAAACCGCCGAGTATAGCTGGGCAATTGAATTAGTTCCCCAATACAGGTAGTCAATATTTTACCCTTACTAAGTACCTTTGAATTGGCTCCCAAGAATTTACTGTTGATTTGGCTCCCTACCTACCGTTTTTTTCAAAAATRTATTGGTTTCCAAAATGTTAATAATTTAAAGTACGTATAATTCGTAATCCGTACATTTTACATCGTTACACAAAATTGGATTTAAAAATTTAAAATACAGACAATATTTTAGCTAAGTGTGTAAGTGTGTCATCATAAAATGTATACATACAAATTAATAAGTTAAATAAAAATATTATATTAGACAATTTTTGGGGGTATATACTTATTATTATTATAGTTATTTGCCAATATTTTTATGTATTGAAAGTGAAACCTCGAACTTACACCAGTATCATATTTACTAATTTCATTTTCTAAAAATTTTATCTTATCTCTAAATTCTTTCCTGTGTGGTTTTGTTGTATTGGAACTCATCATGTGCCCCCAACCTTCAGCCCGCAGGTTATGCAAATAACGCATGCCTAACCTGCTACCCCGTTCGCACGTCTATGCTAAAATTAACTATTTTGTTTAAATGTAATTCTTACTATATATACTGTAACTAGTGTACCTATCTGTTTTAAACAATTATTTGTAAATCGCTAGTAACCAGTAAAACACATACGGGTAAAGCACACACCCTAAATTAGGGTGTGTTAAATTAGCATTAAATGCTGTGATATGTCAAGGTGGTGAGTGGTCACGGTGCTTTCTTAACACTAAGATATATTTTTATTCTAAACTATCTAATTATGTAGTTGTGTAGAACATGCTTTGTAGTACCTAACTATTAAAATAGATACCTATATGTATGTTTTTTATTATTATTATTATTATTAATAGMATAAGATACACATTATTACACATACACGTTTGTACACAGACAAAACGGTGTACCTACGTGACTTGGTGACTGAGTTTTCCAGCTAGATTCTGAATTAGAACTTTGCCTTCCCAAAAAAAGAGGCATATCCGGTGACCCGTCACACCGGCCGTGGTCACTAAGTCAGTACTCAGTAGTTTGTATGTAGAAAACTGTTATCTAAAAATATAATAAACACAAATACTCTTAGTTTTAATTCATTATTGTTTTTTTTCTTTTTTATAAAACACCTACCTGAAACCCTACCCTGGTAGGTAGCGCACACTTGACTAATCAAAACGATGATATACTGTCCCGTCTCTCTTTTTGATTCTGAGTGGAGGGATGTATTGGTTTGATACGTATATCGTATACCTATATATAATATATTTGTTGTGAGCGCAACAACACATAATTTCGGGAAAAAACTACMAAGTATAAAGTATAACTACCCAGATTTAGAAATTCGGAATCCAATTTATTAAGGTGTGATTTCTAGGAACCTATAAGTCGTAGTGTGATTTAATGTGAACATTGAACAACTAAAAGGCTATTAACATTTATACCATGTAGGTACCGTGTTGCTGAAGATGAATTTAAATGTTGAATCTGAAGTAGCCAAGCAGGTAATATCGATCTAATCCTCAATCAATTGAGGACTAACACATTATTTGTTAATTGTTTATAAATATGGTAATGTAGTGACAATATTGCAGTCTACAATATATAAATTACAACATTAGATCATACATTTATAATCATTAGACGTACAGTGTTTAAGTAATTACTAATTTTAAACATACGCCTTTGATTTTGTCTTTTATAGATTGTAAATAATTTTTTTCACCTTCATTTGGGCTGTAGTGGCCTTAAAATGTACTAGCGACGTACAAGTTTGGAATAACTGCTTTAGTCGATAGTCTTTTTTGTGCTTAGTGCCTACCTATGTATAAAATAAACTAAAGGTGTGGCTACAGCTCTACAAACCCAACTCTTGTGCACTCCTTATGATATTATCATGAGAAGTGGATGAAAGATGGTGAAAATGGTTTTAATTATGGAATAAATAATACTCAATATTATTATAAATATTAAGGTAGGTTATATATTATTAAAAATGATTATATTATTAATGGAGTAGTTGCATTATCATACAAAATCATTATTCAGATTAAATAATAACATTATTATATTATAATACATCAATTTAGATACAAATGTGGACACAGAGAAACAAAATGACTAAAGGAAACATTATTTTGTATTTATTTTATCTTACTGCTTGAAAATATAATTTGAACAGTGGCAAAGAAATATCAAATAATTAAATTATTTATTTATTTTAATAGATGAAAAAAAACCATACAAAGTTAAAGATATAAACGAAAATATTTTGCTAACTTTTTAAGCATAATAGTTTAAGTTAGATTTCTTTTTAGCTTGCACTTCCATTATAGCATCCATAAAATCTTCATGTGTAACAGTTGATGCACCTCTCCTTAAAGCAATCATACCCTGAAAATTAAAATAAATAATTTTATAATTTTATATAGTTAGTTAAATTATGATTTAAAAAAATAAATACTTTATGAAATAAAATAGATAATAAAAATGAATTGTACAAATACAAAATAAATTCAAACCTATTGTAAGAGTGGATAAACAACACACATTAAGTATAGAACTATACAATAACTTCAAAAGTATTTTTTAACAAAATAAGAAAATATTAGAATAACTAATATTATATGTAATAATTTTGGAAAAAAATAGTTTGCATTTATAAATAAATTATAAAATTAAATTTGAAATATTTACACATTTTAAGTTTCTGATCAGAATTATTTTAATGGTTGAACTCAAATTTAACATATCCATTAGAGTGAAGAGTTACACTTAACAGCAGAGAGACTTCCTCAGTTTCATAATAAATATTTAATAAGTTTCTCAAAAATAGCTCGGTTAAATCCAGCCCAGTTTCTTTAATAATAAATAACACATGACCAATTAAATTAAAAATAATAATATTAAAAGAAGTGGGAACATTTCATGATTATCTACTAAACACCAGACTTTTGAATATGATTAAGACAAACTTATACAGAATCCAAATTTTAAATTTTACAGTAGAATACCTATTATTTTAAAAAATGTATAGCAAACAAAACCTATCTTAACATAAGGAATACAATTTAAAGTTAATTATTAAGTTTACTGAATTTAATATGGTTGTAGAAAATAACTATAATAAAATTACCAATTTCATGAATCAACTAGTTGTCCGTGGACTAAAGTGGGGAGGAGCGTTAAAGGTAAAATATATTTTGGTTTTTAATAAATTCAAACTTAAGAAAATATTAAAATTCATAGCTAAATCAATTTTCTTGATACAAGTTCCAAAAGTGTTGCAACTCATCATAGTAATACTATATAGACAAACTTGTCATAGTAAATAATTGCATGCTCAGATATATTGTACTAATTTAATATAACATCATGCATAGTTTGTCATTAATTGAACATTTAGTATATAATATAATATAACAAAATAAAATAAAATTCCATATTGCCGAATTATCATTAATGTTATCATAATATGAATAATGATCAATTTATCATAACTAATTAACAACATCTAGAAATATCAAACTTAATTTATGTAACTTTTATATATAAAAGAATTTTTATTWTAAATTTCACCAAGTTCAGTAGTTTGGGAGGATATAGCAATAATAAATTGCATAGACCGAGGAAGAGACAATTTATATTATGTCTCATAAGAGTAATCTCAGGTGGCGAGCTGCTGTGCACCAAGGGAATTTAATCGATGGAGGTGATCTTCAAAGAACTGGACGGACACTAATAACTGTCTGAGGTCACTCTGAGACAGAGTATAGAAGAGTAYCTTTCTCGGTTACATCTAAGTTCTAACAGTTTAATCTACCCGAAAATTTAAAAATAATACAATTTTACTAAGTAATTAATATAACTGGTGTTAATAGTCAACTTACAGCTTCAACACAAACGGCCTTGCATTGGGCCCCATTAAAATCGTCAGTTGATCTTGAAAGTTCTTCAAAGTTAACATCAAACTTGTTCATCTTTCTCGAATGAATCTGCATAATACGTGCACGAGCTTCTTGATTAGGGTGAGGGAACTCAATTTTTCTATCTAATCTACCAGACCTCAACAATGCTGGGTCCAAAATATCTACTCTGTTAGTTGCTGCAATAACTTTTATATCTGCTGTTGAACTGAAACCATCCAATTGATTAAGGAGTTCTAACATAGTTCTTTGTACTTCTCGATCACCAGCTTTTTCAGAATCAAAACGTTTAGTACCAATGGCATCCAGTTCATCAATAAATATTACTGCAGGTGCTTTTTCTTTAGCTAAAGCAAACGCATCTCGTACTAATTTTGCTCCATCACCAATAAACATCTGTACCAACTGTGGACCAGCAAGTTTTAAAAATGTAGATTTTGTTTGAGCAGCACATGCTCGAGCTAAAAGAGTTTTTCCGGTACCAGGTGGACCATACAAAAGAACTCCCTTTGGTGGTTGTATACCAAGATTAAGAAATTTTTCTTTGTGTGTCATAGGTAACACTACAGCTTCAATAAGCTAAAATAATGATTTCAAGATTTAGTATGAAAAACTGATATATTTGTAGATAAGAATTTACCTCTTGAATTTGTTTGTCCAAGCCACCGATATCTACATATTGTTCAGTTGGTCTTTCATCAACCTCCATTGCTTTAACGCGAGCATCATATTCAGCAGGTAAGGTTTCTAATACTAGATACGAATCTTTGTTAACACCGACCAGATCACCTGGTTTTAATTGTTCTGGATCTACCAGACCAATAACAGGTAAAAAATAAGTCTAGAATCAAAATAATATGTTATAACAAGGAATATATTTAAAACTAAATTATTAATATTTAAAACAACTGCTAACTTGTCTTGTTGATGTTTTAATAACTGCACATTTCCCTGTCCTTTGGCTGTCCAAATCAACTACAGCACCGTCCTCTTCGGTATCTTGTGGGTCGACATCTAATAACTCTATGACATTAGATACCAAATAAGGTAATGTCTTATTGACTTTAATCTTTTCTGTGTTTTCTTTAATCTTATCAGCTTGCGATTGCAGTTCATGCGATATACGCATAACATCACTTTTCATGACTTTTATGTCATTGTCTAATAGACGTGTGCGTGACGTTATTTCTTCATTGGACATGAGCAAAATTTCATCTTCTACTCGGTCCTATAATTATTTACAATTGGTTAAACAATAAAAATGTATATGTAGTGTACCTAGTTGTATACATTAATAAAAAAATTAATTTAAAAAAACAGAACTTACACTGTCTTCCCAAACTGATGGATCTTCTAATGTCTTACTGGTTCCTTCTTCAGTCATCTTGTGAATCTGTTAATATGATTGATATTTTATTTGAAAAGATGATGATAAATTCTGTAGGTACCTAATTATTTCGACAATTTCGTTTTGTAGTTTTGTTTAGATGATTGTTCAGATTGTTGATTTTTTGCTGATATCACGATTACCTAGCCAAATGCCCTAACCTCAAAATGTTATTATCTTTAAATTGCAGTGAAGTCATCATGATGGGAAAAAATGAAAAATTGTAACATTAATTAATGTGAAGACTTTGTTTTGTCCTTCTGCACCATAGATAATAATATAACGAATAATATTTATAATAATATAGGTATATTATTATCTATAATCTATGTTCTGTCTTCTGTACAGCACGATTCAAGATAGAATTTATTTATTTAAATATAGGTACTGTGATAGGTACCTACTATCTTAAATCGTGCTGCACAGTTTATAAATAATTAAAGATTTTTTCTACTTAAAAAAAAAAATAATAATCAATAGGAAAATAATTTAAACTTCTTCTATCCATATAAAAATTTTAATTGAGGCAAGTACCCTAAATTAACCCTGTGGTAGGACCGTGAACAATTTTTGAGTAGTAATACAGAAATTATTTAAAAACGAATGTTATCCACTATTATTCAACTATTCCCAAAAACAAAATATGGAGGAAGGAGATTTCAATTTCAAAGTGGGTATTTTTTTATTTAGTTAAACTAAATCACCTTTTAACAGAATATAAATGATTTAAAAGAATTGTTTTGCTAAATTGTCACATGTATTGATGTATTGAGATTGAGAATCCAAACTTTTATAATGTAATGCTATAATGTTGAATACTGATATGACTTCAATAATTTACAATCTACTGTAATATAAACACAGTTAATTTAAAAAACAAATTTTTTTGTAGAAAAATATGATTTCCAATTTGTAAAGTAAATCTACATTTTTTAATTCTAATTATTTCTGCAGTATTTGTAATATTATTGTTTAACAATTATCATTTCAGTATATTTCAGAAGAAGATTTTAATAAAACTTACAAAAAAGTCAGTCGCGATCGACAAAAACAAAGAGATGATCAACATTGGATCATTTGTATGGAATCAATYAAAGATACAGACTCAGACTCAAAAAAAACATATACTATTAAAAATGATGCAGAAGTTAAACAAAGTGAACCCTCATTTAATAAGTGCAGTAACAATCAATTTAGCACACATGATCCAGTAAATTTGTACTCATTGCATGATCTTTTTGATCTTAAACATATACATGGTCTTAGAAAGTATTTACTATAATTTTAATATTTTAATATTAATTAATTAATTGTAACTCTATTAATTATTATTTTGTTTCTGTTACAGCCGTTTATTTAGAACATTTAATGAGTTTTCTAGTATTTTAGAGAATGCTCTTTTGCCACCAGTTTTGAAAAGTCCTAAAAAAATACAAATTAAAATCAAAGAATGTGATCAACCAAATGATTATATATTTGATCTAAATTCACTGGTAAATAATTAAAATTCAGAAATAGTTTACTTTGATATGCAATGTACAATGTACTTAATAACCTATTAATTATTAAATAATAATGATTTGTGGTTAGATTAGAATTGTAAATATTGTAATATCTAATCAAATATTTAACTTAAATAGGGAATAAAGCATGATAGTATATAATTAAAATCAGTGATTAGTGGTATGAAGCCGCAACGAGGTTAAAAAAAACCTTTCTCTTGATTTTACTGTTGAAGATCTTACAGGTATTTAACCATTTCTGAATATTTAGTATTAACTATTTTTGGCATAAATGTAGTTATACAATGCTCATTTTATAATTATTATTTTTCAAAATATGTTTTTAAATGAAAGAAAACATTGTTACTAAAAAAATTTGATCTTAAAATGTTTAAAAAAAATTTCACTCATTCAGTAACATTTACAAAAAATAGATTTTTAAAAAAATTATATGACCCTTGCCTCAATAAAAAGATAAAAACTACCTTCTTTATATGCAAGATAATATGGAACAATCAATTGGTTATTATGTAAATAAATTATTTAGAAAAAAAAAACTGAATTTTTTATTATGAAATTGATTTTTCCGCACTATAGATTAAATACTTTGATACATATTGAAAAAAATTTAAATTGTGCATCAGTTCTTAAACTGCATTTTGTTTCTTGTGTATTGAAATTAATTTTTGGAGGTGCTCCTAGTGTCAGAAACTTGAAATATAAGTTCCAGTGTAAACAAATAAATAACACTTTAGTATCCTACATTTTTATTGTTTATAGTGATTTGATTGTTTGTGAGTAATAAACAGCGGTGAAAGTGAAGGGGGGAGTTCCCATTCTTATTAAAACAAGATTCTGTATTCTCTTTAGTAAAGTCTCCAAAATCCAAGGTGATGCTTAACAAGAAATTTATTAGTTAAATACTTAATATAAATAAGTTTTTATATGTCTGTTAAATTACAGTTATAAAACAAAAACAACATTAAAATTATAAAACATTTTTTTTTAAATCTCAGGCTATGAATTGAATGTATTTTCCCTCACTGATTTCTGTAAATTATTGACTCTATTTCATCTTATCTTTTGGATAGACAGAAATATTTGTTTAATATATCTAATTAATCCATAGCAAAATTAAACAATCATCATGTAATCYCAGTTTATTATTAGATACAGTTATTGTGATTTTTTGATAGATCACATTGTTGACTACAGTTGCTTAGCTTGGTAAAGAGGACCTCCTCCCTCAGAAAACATCTAGTTTTAGCACCATTACAAAATGTTGAAATAATTGTATTTCAGATCTCTGAGATTAAAAAAGAATCAAAAAATGAAGAACTGCACAAAAAAAATAATAAGACCACAAGAAAATTCTTTCAAATAAAGTTGATCAAATGCTATAAATTAGCGATTAATGCCACAAAGGTAATATGACTACATTTAATTATTAATATATATTTTAATGTTCTGTAATTCTTTAAGTTATGTTCAAAAACCTTGGCAGCAGGGATTTATAACCCCATACAAAAAATAGAAAAAAAATATTTAGGGATAAAACGTTATGATTATGGAAAAATGTATAATCAAAAAAAGAAAGAAAGTTTTGTGCGTAATATTTTGATAATTTTTTTTTTTCATTATCACTTTTCAAGAGAACATAAATATATTTATAATTAATTTAGGATTTAGTTCAAAAATGCAAAGATTTAGAGAATATGTTGGAGGAATGTGGTTATAAAGACACAGACAATGACAATAATTATAGTAATAATATTGATACCAATATATTGAATGAGCTTTCTAATAAAGCTTTAAGTAAACCTAAACACTCAGCCTACTCAAATCGATTAAATATGTATAATGAAGACAAACCAAAATTGGGATCATGTTATGCTCAGAAATTGTCAAAAAAATCAGTTGAATTAATAAGTAATAAAGTTTTATTAGACAATGCCAAAACTGCAATAGAAGAATATCCAACTGCTTCAAAAGTATTGTAAGTATGTGTACAATTTAAGAATCATTTGATGGTTATTATAATATAATAGTTAACAAATTAAATACAATAATAAGACCACTTGAAAATATGTGTCTACCAGTGTTTTGTCTGTATAGTATTTTAGATGTTGAAAACCTTTTTTGCTCATATTTATGCAAAAATACCATATTATATACGATTATATTCCATGACTATAATATATGTATGATCACATTATATGATTCAGATTTCTTAAAAATATATTTTCATTCCTAATATTAGATTGATGGCTACAATAGAGAATGTTTAAGTCCTTACACATATTATTATATACATAAAATTAAAATATTTATAGTCGATAGAAATTCTGGCTAGGGCACCAGGCATAAATTGTTAGTAGATAATGAAGGATGGTATTTTGTAGTAAAATACCTAAAACTGACTCTAAGTATATTTTAGATAAACCCACGTCTATATTTTGAATTGTTGAATATTTACATTACCATATTGATATCTAATATTGTACAATATAATATATATATTTTCTTTCATTAATACACTAAATAAAATTGTAATTATATGTATCATGATAATAGGACGATTTATTTAAAAACACATTTAGGAATGTTTAGGAATTTATTACTAGAAACATAATGTATATATTATAAGTTATAACTTTGTTATTTTATCTTTTATGAATACTGTGATTGTGATTTAAATTAATTAAATCCCATAAATGTTTCAGGTCGAATCAATTAAAAACAACTTGCAATGTTGGCCTATACATAATTAAAGAAAACATCTGGAGAAATTTTCCTATTAAAAGTAGGTACTAAATTAGTTAAATTTATAGTTTATAAAGAGGTATTCTAATTAAAAATCTAAAACCTATTATTTGTATGTTATTAAGATATAAGGCTCTCTCAAAATGGAGCTATTCTATTAAACATACCTCCAGGAGAGGCAAAGCAACATCATTTATATAAACAACAATCATTAAAAACAGTACATGGTTTTAAAATCTTATCCAAGTAAATATATTATTAATTTATAGTATATAAACCTATAATGTAGAAAAAATATCTTCTGTATACTGCAAATATACCTACTAAAGTACCGTAAAAAGGGGCGAATAGGAACGGTTTTTGAGGTTTTTCTGCATTGAAACCCTGAGTTTTTAAGATTATTTTTTTCTGAAAGTTGTTTTGGAATGTGTGAACAATTTGACAATTTTGAGATAAAAAATAATTGCTTCAAGTTCCAAAGTTATTTTTTAATAATTTTTTAAAAACGTGTTCATATCCATTGATGGGGCGAATAGGAACACTAATGCAATTTATTCCTTTTAAGTCGAGTATTGGGGAGATAGGAACTTAATAAACATTTTTAACTAAAAAAATTATTAAAAAAAAATATTCAATGAAAATTATACGTCATAACCTTTTAAAAATAAAATGTTTTACAAAATTCAACTAAAATTGACATATTAAATTACCTTTTTAAATTCAAATTTTTAACAAATTACATTCAGAGCACTCTCTACTACCTTTACCCATTATCCATGTCGTTAAAATGCTACGCCAAGCATGTTTCATGGGACGAAAAAAAGCAACATCAAGCAGTTGAGTGATGTGTGTTGAATTTTGGGGCAAAAACACAAATTCAATATTATACTTCGAACAGGCCTTAATTCCCTCCATAGTCAAGTGGGTCGATAAATTGTCACCAATTATTAATTTTTTACCAGGTATGTTTCTAACGAACGGTACAACTATTTTCAGTAACCAATCTTCAAAACATTGAACATCAAACCACCCTGATTTACTTCTATTTTACCTAGAATTTGGAGGTCCTCTCCTGATCCAAGAATCGTACATATGAATTACCTTGTAGACCGTGTAAGGTGGTAGGAGTTCTCCAGTTCCAGTACATGCAAACATTATAGATTTCGAGGCCTTACTCGAATTCATTACTCTTTCAGGATACTTGCACCCTCTTTTAGTAATAACTTTAACTCAACCTGAGTCATCGCTCAGATTCGTTTCGTCGAAGGTATTTAACTGTATTTTTTGATTACAATAACTAAATCTTTATAAGAAGCTTTTCCTATTAATATTATCTTTATGTTACAAACAAGAACCATAGTTTATTTCTATATAAGAACATTATTAACAATGCATTAAAGCTTCTTTTAAACTCAGTTAAGTTTATATTTTTCTATCTATTAAATGTATTCTTTTAGAGTCAAAAGTACAAAAACGTAGGTATCTATAATTCTATATATCTTAAGATTTGTAATGTTGATTTAACTAATACAATTTTTTGTTTTTCTGAAGTAAAACATTTGCAATTTATATTTATTAAGTTATTAATATTTTTGTTTGATCGACCTACCAATATATATATATAGAGTGTCTCGCGAGGATTTACCCATTGCGATATCTCCTGGAATAATGGCGATATCAAAATTTTGATTATTTTATAAGACCCTCAGGGATAAAAACTTCAATTATTTAATATTTTAATTTATTTTAATTTTTTGATTAAAAGGTAAAAAATTCACTACAGCCATTTTGTAATGTTTATTTTTCTGAAAATAATGACGCTTCAAAATTTTATCTTTATTAATTTCCTGATTTTTAATTTTGAGAAAAATTGCTATTTATTCAATGCCAGAGTGTTATCAAATGTGTGAACTGCTGCGCCGCGTGTGTGCGTGCTTGTATGGCCGGCCGAATGTTTTCAGTGCGCCTAACTATAATCATATTTAATTATTCAAAACTAGAAAAAAAATCAAAAATCAGGAAACTAATAAAAATAACATTTTGAAACATCAATATTTTCAGAAAAATAAGCTCTAAAAATGGATATCTTTAATTTTTTTGGAAATGATCAATCAAAAAAATAATTTTTTTAAATTTTTAACAAAACATTAAAATAAATTTAAAAATGAAATAATTGTAGTTCTTATCTCAGTGAGTTTTATTATAAAACTAGAATTTTGATATCTCCATTATTTCGTGAAATATCACAATGGGTAAATTCTTGCGGGACACATATATTATATAGTAAAAGTATAATAATTATAGGTAACAAAATATATTCTTACAAAATTGTATTAATAGATAACTCATATATATAATTCAAAACGATTATTGTTCACAGGTTATCATTTAATAATTGTATTTATTTTTAAATCATCGTCATTCAAAAACTTTTGCAAACTTCAGTTTCATTTAATGCTTYCTAATAAATAAAAATATTTATGTTAACTGTTAAGTAATTAATAATTATTAAAAGTTAATGATTTTTTTTTAAGTATTACAGAATCAATAATAGATGACCTGATTGATGAAGTATTATCAAAAATTGATTATGATTCAATAATCAAAAAGCTTATATTAATGGAATTGTTTGAATAACTGAAAAGTTAAGAAGACTATTTACTTATTTAAGTAGGTACAATTATTTTTTCATTTACAGGATACATAAATTAAGTGATAAATATGTAATATTACTATAACAATAATAAAATCAGTAATACCGACTTAAATATTGTTTTTTTCAACTATGGTTATTTCCAGATAGCCTATGTGCAAGGCAGTTCCAAAAGACAAATTATGGTGGGAGGGGGTTTAATTCGTTAATTTCAAAACCTTTAAAAAAATGTTCTCACTCCACTAAAATTATAATAAACATTTGTCATAGGTAGTAGGTACATCTCATAATCACATAAATATTTTATATTCATAGCCACAATCAATGCTGCCAAAATCGCATTGGCAGTTGGGGCATTTCTTTTATAAAGGGGTCACTTGGTGGTAGATCCAGGAACTTGCCAACATCTAGGTCATTGCATTATATCTTATTAACTTAGTACTATGTATTTACTATTTGATAAAACCTAATATGAAAAAAGAACCTRGAGTCTGGACTAATAAATAACAATTGAACAACTAAGTCATAAAGCTCAGTTTTTGAACATTTAATATTATTTTTTTATTTATATTATTATTATACATGCCGATGCGGTAATATAAAGATTTAAAAAAAAAAATTGATTAAATGCATGATACATTTAATGTTGATTAAATGTATGATGAAAATTATGGACATTATATGGGATTGTACAATTTATTATTGTTTTTATTTTCAGTTTCAAGTAATAAAATGAATATCAAATAAAATGATTCAATATACACTATACATATATTTAAAAAAAAAATTTTGTAGTAGTGCGCAGTGAGAAATTGTTTCTCGCTGATGTTTTATTTAAATAATTCATTGGTTTGCTTACCACTAAATGCAGAAACTAAGGTCTATGTATTATCATTTCAATACAAAAATTAAGATTTCTTAGCTCAAAAATTATCTCCCTTTAGAGTTAAATACTATTATTTCTAGGTACAGTAGAAACCCTCTCGTACGCCCTCGGCTAGTCCGCCGCTCCGGTTGATCTGACCATAGTATTATTGATATGAATTCTATGTATGTAATTTAAAAAGTACAATTTGGATTTCCCAATTTATAGAAGATATATAAAATTAATTGCTAGTTTATTATTTCCCTTATTGTCTTAGCTAAGTCTAGAATATCATTTGCTAAACAAAAATCTATAACTGGCTTTTTTTCTAAGTATTGTAAAATATAATACATTTCTAATATAATCTTGTATGTAATGTGTAAATAAAAATGTTCTGTATATTCTGATAATCCGACCTTTTTTGCGTTTCGACTTTGCCCCCAGTCATGAAGGTGACTGATTAGAGAGGTTCTACTGTATTATTATTATTGTTCCTAGCTATACATAGGGAAAGTTTCGTCCCCATCACCCAGTGTGCCTTAATACGTGTTCTGCAGTAGCCCTACCCTGATTTTAATTGGTCGGGGTAGTCTGGTCCTCTAGGTTGGGGGTTGAGCATACATAGTGGGCTAACAACCCCACCTTATAAAAATTTATTTGTTATGACATTTGGAGATGGAGAAACAATTATAAGCTAGGACATGGAAATTGGAAAACTGGAATTAAGATTGCGACCTGGAACACACTGAGCCTTATTAGGACTGGAGCTTGGCAGAATCTTACAGATGTACTAGAAACATATGGAATACATGTAGCCGCTTTGCAAGAGAAAAGATGGTCAGGGAATGGGCAGATTAAAGTGGGGAAATATATAATCTATTTCTCTGGGATGGAAGAAAGACACCTTTTTGGAAGCGGTTTTGTTGTGCATAGAACCATACATAAAAGAGTTCAATCCCATCTCAGAAAGGATAGCAGTACTACTAGTCGATACAAAACCTCTAAATATGGTACTAGTGTGTTCACATGCACCAACGTAGACAGAAGATGAGGATATCAAGGATGCGTTCTATGAGGAACTGGCACATACTTATGATAATATACCAGGGAACGTAATCAAATTAGTGTTAGGAGACCTAAATGCCAAGTGTGGAAGAGAGACTAAATTTAGCCCAACAATAGGTAGTGAAAGTCTACATGGGACAAGTAACGGTCTTCTGGTCGCTTTTGTCTTTTTCGTTCAGTTTTCTTACAAAATTTTGTGTTTACAATTTGCATAATACTCAACATTCAATTATTTTGTATTCGAATACGCGTATACCTACTCTGCGATTAACTGTATACATTTTCCAAACGAAACGATGGAAGATGATAATGTTGCCTGTAAGTATAATATAGACGACCATTTGGTTATGTACCTAATACTTTAGGTAAGTAACATCTCAACAATATAATATAAAATCATAATGTTACAAAATTGATATTTTTTACCATCTTACATAGGTGTATCTTATGCATTTTTTTGTGATCCATCTTATGTAAACCTCACGAGCCACCATTGTATCCTACCATTTGTTTGAGTTTCAATTTGCTAGATTTACCGGCCGAAAAATTGAAAAACTAGTCTCTTTTTGTCTCATGACTGTGGAATCCGGGACCCGGGTGAACTTCATAGGTGGCATTTGATTTTAATACTAAAATACGCTGTTAGACGGCCTCCAAATCTTCAACACCCGCTTTGATTTCTACGTTTAATCACAATAATATATATATTCATTGCAAAAACAATGCTTCAAAGCTTAGTATCATCAAAAAACAATATAATATATATATAAATAATATATCATACTATCATATTATACATAATATTATAATAATTTATTAATTTGAACTACCTATTTGACTATAAATCATAAATCATAATAGTGATAAATGATAATAATATATGTATATCAGTATATCACCGCTATCCTTATCAAATTGTTAAAAAAAAATTTAAACACCGACTAAGATGTAATCATTGGTTAATAGTATTAATTTCTTATGAATTAGTAAAAATCAATTGCCAAGTGTTATAAATTAAAGTTAATTTAAATTAGTTGATTAATTCTGAAGTCATAACCTTTACTGTATTTATGTTTTTAAACCTTTATCAAATGCAATAGTTTATGTTAATTTGGTTTTATTTAACATTTTAACAGATGAACAACTAACTTGTATCAGTGTAGGACGTAGTTGTACTATGTGCGTGTTCTCAGAAAGTTAATAAGCTTTTTGAAGGTGTAATTCTTGTTATACATAAGTTTAAGGTGACGTGTTGAATAATGCTTCCAGGACGTGGAGTTGGTTGTCTGCCTGGTAAGTCTATAGCAAAATATTATGTGATTGTATATAGTATTTATATTGAAATCATAATTTATTAGTCAATAGTCATTACTATTACTTTTCCCTATTAATTTGTACTTCCCATTTTATCTCACAGATAACCCTTTGGGTCTTTCTTGGCATGATAGTAATTGGATTCCCATGCTCAACTCTAATAACATACTAGACTATTTCTCGGAACGTAGTAATCCATTCTACGATCGAAGTTGTAATAATGAAGCTATTAAAATGCAACGGCTCAGTATGGATCAGTTGAGGTAAGAATGTAACTCAAATTCATGTATTTTTTCTTGCTCAATGATAATTATTGACACTTATTATAAAATAACTAGTGGGGACGAGGTGGCCGAGTGGTCTACCGCGTCGGCTGTGGCTCAGCCAGACCGGGTTCGATCCTCGACCATCGGGCGGCATTTTTCTCCGGGCAAGTCACGGTGTCAGGAGAACAAGTGCTGCCATCCCCCACTCCGGGGCATGGCAGAAACCTACGGGTGCCCTAATAGAAATTCTGCCAAAAACTCTCACCCATGTGTAAAACTAACCTACAGTTCCATAAGAACCTACAGTACTACCCCCTTCCCAATGGTCTTAGTTGCCGCGGGATAATTAAAAAAATAAAAATAACTAGTAATAATTATTTATGTTTTAAATTATTTAAATAGTTAAGTATTTGGAAATTTTATTTTTTGGATAGGGACTGGAACCTATTTAAATTGAATTATATGTTACCAGATTTAGTTTGGTGATGTGTTGTCCATGAGTCTTAATGATTTATATATACCTAGTTAAGCTCTTATGTTTTAATATAAGGTATGTTTTGTTTACTTTATAAATGTTATATTTTAGCAATATGATTGGACTGGAGTATTGTCTTCTTCATGTGCAAGAACCAATTCTGTATGTAGTACGTAAACAACACAGACATTCTCCGACACATTCTACACCAATTGCTGATTTTTACATTGTTGCTGGTATAGTTTATCAAGCACCAGATCTTCTTTCAATTATTAACTCACACATGGTACGTAAGATTTTGATATATTGTATTAGAAATCTCTTATCTAGGTATTTTATAAAATGTGAAAAATCAGAAGCATTGTGTACAGCTCATCTTCAAGGCATATTAAGAGGACGCCACACCCGCATGTGTTGTCTCCTTCGTACAAGTGCATAGCATAGCAAATTTTACGCTCAGCAGATCACGTTTATCTCCGTTAATTTAAAATTTAGAGTRAATTKACCTATTATAAAAATTAAAGGCAAGATTATTACCGAGGGCATCTCATAGGCTTTTTATTATATTTTAATTTTAAAGCGAGTAATGAGTATTTTAAAATTGTAAATTATTTTTATATTTAAAAATACTCATAACTCGGTTTAAAATTAAAATATAATAAAAAGCCTCCGGTAATAATCTTGCCTTTAATTTTTATAATAGGTAAATTCACTCTAAATTATAAATTGAAGGAGATAAGCGAGATTTTCTGAGCGTAAAATTTGCTATGCTACGCACATGTATGACAAAGACAACACATGCGGGTGTGGCGTCCACTTAAATTATAGGCTTTTTTATTGTATGTGGTGTATGCGCTCCACCACAGATTGCAATCTACCGGTGGTTACGGAATGCTTGTCAAATGCTCTCTACTACTCGATTATAAATGATAGTATTTGATACACATACTCAAAGCATAGAAGTTAAATATTATGCGTGGTATAACTCCCAATATACTCTCAAACTATTATATTATAATATATTATTGTATATTTATAGTTAGTAAATATAATAAGCTATTACTGGTTTTTTATTGAAATAGGTAGAGTGTACACTTGTATTCATAATGATGTCTGTAGACCCCATACAACGAGATAGTCAAATTATATCAATTAGATTTGTATAATAATCTTTTTGGGGAATTGTTCTTACTGATAAAAACCTACCAACTGGTTTTTATTAGTAGAATTTTTGTTGAATCAATGTTCTATAATATACAAGGTGTTCACATTTCAAACAACCATTGTGGGTGAAATAAAATATTTAAAAAACAACAAAATAAAAGAATTTAACTTGTACCAACATTGATTGTTTTCTACTATGCCACTATGGTGTAAGCTTATATACTACTAAATAAAATATTGGAGTATATCTTGTAACAACAAGAAATTGAACTCTTTACTGTTAATTGTACATTTACCTATACTTACTAAATGTATTGCTTACTCATAACCATAAGTGTATTTCTACATATTTTATTTTGTACTATGATATTGGTATAACTTATATAAACATACTTAATATATATTGTATGTTAAAATGGTTTTTTTTTTAGATGTCTTCAGCATATCATTTAGAGACTGCATTCGAAGAACTTAACTCTTTAGCTAGATTTCATCCATCTAAAGGTTATTCGTGGGAAAATCGTAGACCTGGTCAGCCAACTGGTCCTGTAACAGCTCCTCCTCCATCTCCGGTTAAGGTTACCGGCAAAAGAGACATTGAAGAAGCTAGTTCCCAATTTCAAAGATTACGAGTAGATATGTTGTTAGTTGAATTAACAAGAAAGTTTCCTTTACCTTTACCTCAAGCTCTTTCTGCAACACCTCAAAATACTATAAATAATCAACAAACAAGTAAATACAGTTTTTAACATTACAATTTAATAAAACMATTTTATACCAAAATAGTTCAAGTACCCAATTGTTATGTAAGGTGTAAAGTGTTTGATTTGGGTGGTGTATTCTGTGTAAAACAAGGAATTCCTTTTTTTAAAGTAACTTCTGTTTAAACCTTCTAAATGTCAATCAAAATGAAATCTTTTTACTTTTATAATGTTATAATCAATTATAAGTTATAACCGTACAATTTATTTCAAAATATACAGATTTTATTTTATTATATTATTTGTATGGTATATTAGTATAAAAATGATCGCAATTGGTTTTTGTTCATGACAAAGCTTAATAGTAAAATAATTACTTCTTTTATTTGTTTACAGATGAACTAAATAAAAAAGAAGTGAAACAAGAAATAAAACAGGAAACGATTCAAGACGTAAATATTAAACAAGAATCTCAACCTACTAACTCTTTATCACCATCTATGAGACCACCACCAGAGAAAAAGTTTAAGCCGGCATGATACACTTCTAATATATATATATTGGTATATTATTTATTTACATTATCTGAATTTTCTATACAGACTAAAGTAAACTTATAAAGTATATACTTGATACTAATTATAACCTTTTACTTATTTTAGTTCAAAATGTATTATTATTTTTATACCTACTATAAATTATAGGATTAATTCTTAATGATTAAAAGAATATTCAAAATAAGTATTCAGTTTTTAATGTTAAATATATACAATACATACATAATATATGTATTTTTGTGAAATCTTAAGAAGAAAATAAAAGATACAATAAACATATTTTATACAGCATATTAATTGTATACTAAATATACTATTTATTTTGACTGTCGACTTTCACTAAATTAATAGCAATTTTTGTTATATCACAACAATTTAGTATGATAAAATATTAAAATGGTACTTTCTTTAATTTCATAATGTATGCTAACTTATTTGACCAATTGGCAATAGTAATTATAATATTTTATGTGCAAAACAACTTTTTAGTATTTAATAGATTCATGTGTATGTATTATTTGTTTGTTATCAATTTAAGCTTTTGATAATAGGTGTGACAACAATTTATTATTATTCTTTACCTTATGTAAGTATTCAATTTTATTATCATCAAACATTTTGAATTTTAAAATAATATTTATAATTCAGCTTTATTCTACCATTAAACATAAATAGATACTTTTAAATAATTGAATATGTTGTAAATATTATTTTAGTGTATATCATATTAAGCCTAATTATTGTTAACTTTTTATAATAATACATTTATAATATTATATTGCATTTTAGCAATTCATTTTAGTTACAGAAACATGTTATGTATTAATACTTCTTACTATACATTTAGTATACATAACACAAATTCTAGATTTATTTTAACCCAAAAATAGGTAAAAAAGAAATTAAAATTTTTTAATATTTCCTCTCATATGTTCTTAAAAGCTATATTGTTATTGGAAAATTCAAAATTCAAAAAAATATATTACAAGGTACCTAAAAATTCATTAAAATCAACATATACAATATTATTATGTTTAGATTCAGAAATATTTAATGTTTGTTTATTATAAAATACATATAATAAAAGTAAACAATCATAAGCATAACTAACTTCAGTCTTTAATCGTAATTTTGAGTGCAGTTTTATTCGGTAATTAAGTGCCCATGGTTTTATTTAATTAAAAATAATAAACTAGTTGGTGGGGAGCTATGCTTTTACTTCTCTCATTTTATGAACTAATATCATAGAAGAACTAATTTCTGAGCAATTTTTACCCATGCGAATGGGTGTCAAATACCCATTGTGTTTTGAATATACAATATATACATAATTATTGATACATTCAATAATTATAAACCCGAAAACCTGAAAACTTGTGCACAAAAAAAAAGCTCTTAAAAGTTAAAATATCCTCAAATGTTATAGATAATAAGTCTTGCCAGTCTTGGTACTTAAAAAAATATACAATTAATATGAAAACAAAAAAATATAAAAAGGCAGTTTATTTACTTGATAAAAACTTTTAAATTGAAAAATTAACATAACCTGCTAGTTGTTCACTGTCGCAATATTATAGGCATATATAAACGACCGTTAAACTCCAATCAGTGTCTTACTATAATATTTTTAAATATTAAATTTTCTAAATGTGCACTGTGCACATAAAAAGCTTTTAATTTGTAAAAGGCCAACGTTACTTAGGTTACACTTAACATTTTCAGAATATATTCTTATTTATTTATAAGATTAAAAATGGCAAAATAACATTTTTAGTTTAACTTACTAGTGTGGTAGTGATATAAAATATATAATTTATAATTTATGTATCATTCACATGACCTTTCTAATTACAATATGAAAAAACTAGAATTCCTCAGCCCTACTGAATCTAATATACATAGTTAGGTTGATAGGTATACCAAGTATATAGGTAGGCACCTAAGTGTTCTAGTCTCTAGATGTGATAACCCATTATAGATACCTACCCAAAGAGGCAAAGAGGCATAGACAGTACCTAGTAGAATACTACTAAAATAATGTGGCTATACTTTAGCGACTATATTTTTATGGTTACATGGCTACATTATAAAGGCAACAGATTTAATATTTTAATATGACATCGGTTATAGACTTATAGACTGAATCTATTAAAGTAGAAAGTAATCATAAAAATGTCTAGAATATATAGGTACCTATTTAACTTAATGTCTAAATATAGCACAACTACAGAACATAGGTTCTTTGTGAGTATAATGATAGTTATGAGCTACTATTATCATGTAAAATTTAAGTTTTTATCTTAAATAGATATAGTTAATTGGTAATAATCCTATACGACTGTAGGTACCCACTTATAAATTATAATTAAATAAGAATAGCCTTGATATTCTAACTTTTAAGGTGGTCCGTGATATCATAAATCACCTACCTAAACTTAGGATTATCGCTTAAGCTGGTTAATACCATGAATTAAGATGTGATATTTAACTGTCTGATATATTGGACTATTTTTTAATGACATCATAAATGTATATTTCTAATTGTTTTATACTTAATTAAATAAATAATAATCCAGCGCCTAGCCAGAAGCCACATTAATAAATGACATGGAAACAAATTTTATGTATGATGAGGCAAATTAGATGAGATTAAAATGTATTCATTAGGATGTAGCCTACATCATGTAGGTCGATTGTCCGGTCTACTTTTAAATTTTTAAACCTCTACATTTGCATTTCATTTAAAAATACAATAGTTAGCATTGAAACAGGTTTAATAGTAAATAATAAAAATATGTTTGGTATGTATAGTCTATAATTTTTTGCCACATCATTTAAACACATCTCTGGAGAGTTTACATATTTTGTTCACGTATTATGTTGACCCGGGAGAGTTTACCACCGTCCATTTATTACTTTTATATGAAACCTGCTTTAAGTATATGACTTACCTATAGGCTATAGGTAGGTAGTCGTTCTGGGACAGCAGAATATAATATGCTTACTTAAGGCCAATACCTAACCTTTGTTGTTGAGGCTCAATAAAATAAAAAAATATATAATATGACACTGTACAAATGTACGTAGCTGGGCGTATTTATGTAATTTGCACCACATTTAAAAACATGGTATAATTTATCCCACACAAAACTGTCTAAAAGCGTATTTTTAGCACTACACCAGGTACCTGTATCGGATGAGCACTGTATGCACTGCCCTAGCGCCTCTGGCAACGGCAGAGTGTAATACTGTGCTCTACCGCCCTTGTAGGGGTGGCAATGCGGGGAGGGCAGCAGAAMGCTAGGTGGCTAGGCGAGAGACTGAGATCTCCGATATAGGCCTCATCTTTTCGAAGAAATTCCTGGTCAACCGGGCCAAGAGGATTGGTTCTGAAATTCCTCAAGATGGCGTGCTAGAGACGTTTATCGGGACTGCCGTGGAAATCCTATGACGTTGAAAGAAGAAGCGGAAATGGCGAAGGGGTTGGCCAACAGACGGCCGATTGTTATAAGAACGCGATCTCTAGGGCGAAGAAGATTACGATATCACGCACGAATGTACGATGATACGTCTATAATAGTGGCAGGCTGTGGTAGGCTTGTTAAGACTTTTTCACTTTTTCAGCATACTATAACGAATTGGAGATTAAAATAATGCAGATTTGAGGGTTGCTATTGTCCCGTTAGTGGTCACTGGTCGCACAAACCTATGTTTTGCCGGTGGCTTCTGTTTTTATCGTAAAAAATAGCTAATGTAGTTGTGCGATTTATTGTTTATTTTTGGTTCACACCTTTATTTCAACAGACGAGATAATAATAGGTAATATTTACAAGTTGGTACCTATAAACTATCATCACCTAGTATATGTGTACTAACTAGCTACTCTGTAGTATATAACAATTATTGCTAATAGGGTCATAGGCGTGCGCAGGGGGTATGCAGGGTATGCAGCTGYATACCCTGAAGTTCTGTGAGRGGYGAACATCGASTCTGRAARATTGAAACATCCAGTTATCAGTTATCAACTACCAAGTATTTGCGAAATACATACTTYTTGTATTATGTAATGGTATTTATTACAATATTTTTTTAATTAAGCAGTAGGTTTTTTCAATATTTGTGAATTGTGTATACCTACATATTAATCATAATTYTACGAGCCTAAAATAACTTTCAGGGCGCGCTATTGTCAGMCTTCTGCATATCCTGAAAAAGAGGCCTGCGCACGCCTATGAATAGGGTGATGCTCTATGTGTATGATTATAATTTGTTGTACGCATTATGTTATTGAATAAATGTATTATAGCAGGTGTACCTATGCGTCGTATTGTAGTCCATATAACAGTATTACAATAAACTATTGTAAAATAATAATATAATATCATTGTAAAATATATTATACACATATCATACACGGATCTATAGTATAGGTATATATCAGAGACACGTGCATATTGACCAGTTTAGGTACCCAATTGTGTACCTATGTAATATTCCGGTAACATTGGGGCAATAATATTGTAATATTTCATATTATTATATTATTATCATCATGACAACGACGGCGACGAAGTTGATGATGGCGTCGGTTTGGCCGGAGTCATCGTGATCTTTTTGAAGCCGTACACAAGCAGTACTGTGTAGAGAACGAACGCCAACGATATAGTGATCATCACGTACATGAAAAGGTTGAGCTCTGGCTCTCGGAAACGGGTTTTCTTCAACCACTCGAGCACCTCGAGTTCGGTGTCCAGACTTCCTGCACGTGGTGTACAACATACGACAAGTTAATATTAATAGTGTGCACATAGGTAAATTATGAATTGTTGCAAATTATTGAAAAAAAAATCATAGGTAGGTATAGGTAGATAGGTAGTTAGATGCTCTGCTGACTGCAGCGAGTTCTATAATATATACTTATATTCGCAGCTGTTAATTAATTTATTAACTACCTACACATTATTGTGACACCTCAGACATTCATAATAATAATAATATATAGCAATACAGTATAGCGAGTATGGCTAGTAGCTTTTTGGAAAACGTTATTATATTTTTACCATTTTATATTGTTTTAATGTTTAAACTTAAACTTTTTTAATGGCGAAGTAGAATATTCAAAGAATTGTTTATAAGAGTGTAATAACTTATAAATAGGTATTCGACTATATATATATATATATAGTCGAATATTC